TGTATCGCGCATGCGCTGGGTGCAAGCAGGAAATGTGCGCGCATACACGGGGTGTGTGCGGTGTGGCCTGTTTGTGCCCCCAGGAGACTGCAGGGAGGCCTACTAGGCCCAAAACGGAGCATGGGGGGGGGGGTTCGCAGTTGCATGCGTGGGGGGGGGCAGTGGGAGGAGTCGGGAGCGCATTGCATTATTTCAGGTGACGACAAAAAGGTTAGCCATCCCTGTCCTAAGGGGTGTCACTGGTGAAGCTAACAAAAGCAGAGGAAGGGAAGAAACCACAGTAGAGCTTTATACAGATTAGAGCTTAGCATACATTTTTTTAATCAAATACACTTGCAGAAAGAAGAGTTCTTGTTTGACGTACAGACCTTCAAGTTGTCAAGTGACGCTAATCATTCCTAAGTCAAGCCCTTCCTTTCAACATCTACTTCTGAAGGCACAGGACACGGACCCCCTCCCTCCCCACCCCCACCCCCCCAAAAAAATCAAAGTGGCAAACACACGCAGGTAGCTGAAACTGATTCTCCTCCACCACGGAGGCAAACGTTGCCTTTCGGTGTTATACAAAAAAGGGGCAGCCACCCTCTTTTAATTAGAAAAAATATATATATGCATAATTACTACCAGAAAGATGCAGCCACCTGGCTTCCACTTCTATACCTAGATTTGAACTTGTTATTATTATACAGTTATTGCTGGCAAATTTAATCCAGAGATGATAAACTGCTTTTCTTTCTTAAATTTTGGACTGGGCTATGAAGAGGGTAACGTGCATCCCAATATAGATAAAAGAAACCTGTCCCCCAAATCCCCCAAATAGCAGCCAGGGGTTTGGAGTCAAGTTACCCTCCAACTTCATTTCAAAGAAAGCTCTTGCGGGTAAATTGGACCAGAAGCAGCAAAGTTGAATTAAAGCAGAATCATCACCGGGAAAACATCGCTTGAACCTTAGGACAATCTACTGGCATGGATATTCTAAGACAATAACGCTAAAAGACCGAGGCACTTGGTTTTTAGTACTGTATACTTCCTAGCCATTGGGAAGGGGCTAATTAAAGGGACTGAATCCAGAATGAGCGGCTAAAGAAGAATAAAATTAGCACATTTAACTTGATGATTTTAAAGGTTAAGTCCTACAATTCGTTCTACGTCCTAGTACGGTCAACCGCGTAGCCTAAACGTTTAGCGTCTTGATAGCTAAAATGTATTATTTATCTGTCGATGAATTTCCTGGGAACGATGACCAGAATCCAACATTTATTATAATGCCCCAGTTTTAAAGTGGGTTTGACGTTTCAAAAGGGAATTAAAACTATTTTGAGAAATCCTTGTTAGTACAACCAAGCCTCTGGATAAGCCATCAAAATAAGTCATCGTCCCCATTTCTGGCACGTTTTGTGAGACCAGAAAGAATTTTGAGGAGTCTTGAGGTTAACCTTTGGGATAGTAACGAGAACCAACATGGATTCTGTAGAATAGATCCAGCTCTTTGGAGGCAATGCAGACAATGTTTTCAACTATATTCTAATCCAACATGTCTTACCTTAATCAAGGAATGGTGGAATTTAATTCCTCCGAGGCATAAACAGGAGAATGATCTCATTAAAGATGGTCTTCTAGTCCAAGACTAGTACTTAAATCAGCTGTACAACAGCTTCCCTCTTGACTCAAAACATTTAAGTCCCTCTTTTAACATTTCACACCAAAGTGCTACAAGAATAAAAGGCTAAACTTATACAGCCATATAATGTGAAGAGCTAGTAACCACTGTGCTGCCTTCTTTCCTGAACAAACCCACAACAGTTAAAAAAAGAAGAAGAAGAAGAAGAAGAATCTGAGAACAGCATAATTCCACACAAAATTCAGTCTTGGCAGAAGACTTCATGTTGAAAAGGAAAGAACAAGGCATTTTCCCTGAAAAAGCAGCCGGGTGCTTTCCAAGAACACAAAATGTTCTTCTTACGGAAAGTTATTTTTCTAGACTGGCAGTTTCTAGTCGAACAAACCAGTTCCCTGGATGCTTCCGCAGACTCCAGAAATAAATTACAATACATTTGGCACCAAGCTGAAATTTCAATCTCCAATTAGTACTAAGATTACCAGGAGTTATGCGCCTCCTGCTATTCTAGATACCCAAAGAAAACCAGCAGAAATGCCGCCGCAGGGTCTGTGCAAGGTAAATTCAAATAAGAGTTGTGTTTTAAAAACAACAACAGATGCAACCTCAACGGGGAGAGGAAGATCTTCCCGTGTCTCAACATATATTTTCAAAATGGCATCTGCCTCGAAGGCCCGACCTGAAGGAATTTTACTCTCCATAATTAAGAGGATTAAATTTGTTGAGTTTGGTTTTTTTTAACGCCTACGTAACCAACTCTGAAAACTGCTCCAGGCAGGCAGGAAAGAAAGTAAGTTCCAACTGTCCATAGGCTGCAGTGGATAAGCAGCTGAGACCAAACCTTGGTGGCCATTGTGTATTCGCCACCCCACCCAAATAGCATTCTGAAGGTTTTAAAGGGACGTTTTTCAAAGTACTGGACAAGCCAACTGCTTTTCTCTGGCAGCTTCCATGATCGGAGTCTCCGTTTCACCCTAGCTAAGTTGCCTGAAAAAGCTCCACTTCCGATTCCAAATAGAAGCTCAGGTCCAGTCCGATCTCCTTGTGCATAAAGCAGAAATTGGCCTGGAACCAAGAACTGAGGTTTGGAAGGTCGCGCGCTCTGCGTCCGCTGGCTGGGAACGAGGCTCAGGTTAGCGAAACGTGTCTTTTGCAGGAGAAAAACCACCCCCGCCACGGGAAAGATCAGTGTTTGCTGGTGTAAACTGTTTCCTCCTCGGTGTCCGTTTCATCCTGGAACTCGTGGCTCAGGAGTGACTTCTTGGAGCCGGTGGACATCATGCGGATCTCGTCCTCGTAATCGTCGTGGTTCTGCCGTAGGCGGTGGAAGCCATCTTTGTGCCGGTTGGACTTGATGGAGCACACACACCAGATGATGCAGGCTGTAAGGATCACGGCCGACATGGTTGCACCTGAGGGGGAGGTAAAGGGAAGACAAAATGCAGAGGCCATAGTCAGATTCAGGCCATGCGCACAAAGGTTAAGCATGCTTGCCTGTAATTGCCTCAACAGAGATTTAAGAAGGCCCTGAATTTGGAAGTGGAAGGTAATTTTCCTTTTTAAAGACCCCTCACATCTACCAATGCCTGTGAATGCAAAACCAGCTCAGCAACCCAGTGTAGAATTTGCATTTTAGAGCCATGGTGGCACAGTGGTTAGAATGCAGTACTGCAGGCTACTTCTGCCAACGGCTGATTGCTGGCAGTTTGAGTCTCACCAGCTTAAGGTTGACTCAGCCGTCTGCCCTTCCCAAGTCTCTGTAATGAGGACCCAGATGATTGGGGGGCAATGTGCTGACTCTGTAAATGGCTTAGAGAGGGCTGTAAAAGTACCGTGAAGCGGTATAGAAGTCTAAGTGTTATTGCTTGGGAGGGAAGGAAGGGAGCCATGGTAGTGCCGCTGTTACAATGCAGTATTGCAGGATAAACTCTGCCCATAGCCAGGAAATTCAAATCTCACCAGGCTCAAGGTTGACTCAGCCTTCCATGGTGGGTAAAATGAGGACCCAGATTGTTGGGGGCAAGAGGCTGACTCTGTAAACCGCTTAGAGAGGGCTGNCACTATCCAGTCAGAGCTGAAGAAGCTTCTTTGATGAGAAGTGAAATGTCTTCAAACGAAAAAAACAAGAAAGTCCAGTTGCCTCCTGAAAAAAGCACCTTTGGGACAACCCTGACCAGGATAATGGAGAATCTCTACAGACTTTTAACCCTTCCATGTTTAAAAAAAAAAATCCCACCAATTTTCATCTTGCTTTTCACAGAAATCTGAGCTAAAAAAAAACCTGCTTTAAAATGTTTGCAGTTTTTCTCTTGGGCAAGAGGGATGAGCTGCTTGTTGTCTACATTTCTTCTTTGAGATGGTGTACAGTTAAGATATTTCAAGAGCCTGAACTGTGCAGGATTAAGAGGCTTCTTCCCAAGCTTCTAAATGTTCTAAATCTGAGTAAGAGGTGACTTAGTTCAGTCATTACTTCTTCCTTTTACTAGGACTCTTTGCCAATCATCGCTTTTGTAAACTCCTGCCTGGTCATCAGTGATCGTATCCAGCCACCTTGTCACAGGCCTCTTATTTTGTCTTTAACCTGTTCAAGTGCAAGACGGTTCTCAATTTACGACTACAATTGAGCCCAATATTTATGTTGCTGAGTGAGACATTTGTTAAGTGAGTTTTGCCCCATTTTACGACTTTTCTTGCCACAGTTGTTAAGTGAATCGCTGCGTTTGTTAAATTAGTAACACGGTGGTTAAGTGAATCTGGCTTCCCCTTTTGACTATTGCTTGTCAGAAGGTCGCAAAAGGAGATGACATGAGCCCGGGACATTGCAATGGTCATAAATATGAAACAGTTGCCAAACATCTGAATTTTGATCAGATGAGCATGGGGACAAAGGACAAAACTGTGAAAAATGGTCCTAAGTCTCCTTTTTTCATTGCTGTTGTAACTTTGGTCACTAAATTAATTGTTATAAGTTGAGGACTACCTGTACTACAATTCCTACAACAATAAGCTGAAAAATAGCAGCATCTTTTTCCCTCTGTAGGGAAGAGGTAGTTTACCGTATTTTTCAGAGTATAAGATGCACTTTCCCCCGCAAAAGAGGTTGAAAATTTGGGTGCGTCTTATACACCGAATGTAGTCCTGCCCGCCTGCTGGCCCCCACGCTTTGTCCTCTGCCTCCTAGCAATTTGCCTCCTTGCAGCAAACAGCCTCTTTCAGTTTCAGCTTCAGCACAGCTTGATTAGCACAAGCAGCTGATTGTCAGCTGTTTCAGGCTGCAGGGATTGCCATTGCCTATAGTTGCCTCCGTATGACCCATTTTTGGCCCCCGCGCACCCCATTTTCTGCCCATTCTGATCCCTGCCGCCCGAAACAGATGGAAAAAGGGGCACGCGGAGGCTGAAAATGGGGTGCGCAGAGGAAGCAATAGGCAATGGCAATCCCTGCAGCCTGAAACAGCTGATCGCTGGGAGGCCGATCCAACCAGCCATCAGCTGCTTGTGCTAATCAAGCTGTGCTGAAATTGAAAGTGAAACTTGCTGTTTTTGCTGCAAGGAAGCAAATTGCTGGGAGGCAGAGGCAGATTTATTTTTCCCTCCTGAAAAGCTAGGTGCATCTTATACTTCAGAGCGTCTTATACTGAGAAATACGGTAACTCCAGCGCTTTTACGAAGAGCCCTCAGGTGAAAACGACAAATATTAGAGAATCGAAAGCCGTGTGGCTTACCCTCGGGCAGATGCGGTGATCTTGTACGTCCCTGGAGCCAGCAGGCGCCAATAATCCCCAGCTTTATAGGTGGAGACAGGGTGGTCAATGCTGGCAATGCCGATGGTGGCGTTCAAGATGCCTCGTCCATCCGTGGCATCCAAAACAAACCCACTGACACCTTGGTGGACCTAAGTGAAGAGAGATGGATGAAGTGTGCAGCAGAGACTCCGTTAGACTTTGATCCGCCTCCCCAAACCCATGAAAACACAAGAGCCAGGTAGACGAGTGCAGAGAAGACCAACAAAGATGATTAGGGGACTGGAGGAAGAATGGCTGCTGGAATTGGGTATGTCTAGTCTAGTGAAAGGGACGCGGGGGCTCAGTGGCTAAGACGCTGAACTTGTCAATCAGAAAGGTCAGCAGTTTGAATCTCTAGCGCCACGTAACGGAGGGAGCTCCCGTGACTTGTCCCAGCTTCTGCCAACCTAGCAGTTCGAGAGCAAGTAAAAAATGCTAGTAGAAAAACAGGAACCACTTTGGTGGGAAGGGAACAGCGTTCCGTGTGCTTTCGGCGTTTAGTCATGCCGGCCACATGACCACGGAGGTGTCTTCGGACAGCACTGGCTCTTTGTCTTTGAAATGGAGATGAGCAGCGCCCCCTAGAGTCGGGAACGACTAGCANTTTCATTCTCTCCTCCTCTCTCTCTCTTTCTTTTCTATCATTGTAGGTGTCTCTTTCAGGTCTCAGTTTATGTTTCCTTGGGATGGACATACGCATTTCCTTGTGTATGGAAGGCAGACAGTCTTCGACTTAACAACAACTGAACAGGATTTTGGTTGTTAAGGCATTGCGGTTCTAATCGAATCACCAGGTGAGCAGATTCAATTTTTCTGAATGTTTTTTATGATGGTTCTTAAGTCAGTCTCCACAAGTTTCTATTTATCTACCCTGCGGCACTTTTCGGTGCCATTGTAACTTGGTCACTAAATGGTCACTAAATGAACTGTTGTTAAGTCAAATACTTCCTGTAATTGACATACAGCGACAGTGCATCAAAACTCACCTCCACCAGCATACTGAGAAGAGATTTCTTATTCTCTGTCCACAGAGTATGGAGTTGTCCTGCACTTGGAAAGTAACAGCAACCGGTGTATACTGTGATCTCTGGGCATTGCCCGTATGTGACACTGAAATCCTGGAGAAATAAATAAATAAAAGGGTTTGGGTCAAGGGTCAGCAACCTGCGGCTCTGGAGCCGCATGTGGCTCTTTCATCCCTCTGCTGCGGCTCTCTGCTTGCAGTTGGTAAAAGGACGCCATGCTAGGAGGAGACTCTATGGTGAGGAGGAAAAAGGACACCACCCTAGGAAGGCACTCTATGGTGAGGGAACCAGACTGCCGGTTGGCTCCAGAATTGAACGGGGGGGCTTCTGGTTAGGACATTTGTGGCTCTTTGAGTGTTTTTAAGGTTGCTGACCCCTGGTTTGGGTCAAAAGAAATATAGTCCCCCCACTTTTAAAAAAGCCCCTGTCAGCAAAACATTACAGATAGTCCTCGACTTATGATCCACAATTAAGCCCAAAATTTCCACTGCTAAGTGGAAAATTTCCATTAAGTCAGTTGTGCCCCATTCTACGACCTTTGTTGCCATGGTTGTTAAATGAATTCAATGCAGTTGCTGAGTTAGTCACACAGTTGATAAGTGAACCATTGACTTTGCTTGTCAGAAGATCCCAAAAAGGGGATCACATGACCCCGGGACACTCCAACCGTCATAAATATGAACCAGCTGCCAAGCGTCTGAATTCTGATCACCTGATCATGGGGATGCTGCAACGGCTGTAAGTGTGAATCATAAGTCACTTTTTTCAGTGCTGTTGTAACTTCAAACAAGTCAAGGGCTCCCTGTATTGGTAACCTTGATTAATTATGCAGTCTGCATGATGAGCACCAAAATAACCATCTGGGAAATACCTTCATGCTGCCTAGATGGCTGTGCCACTGTGCTCCGAGCAACACACCTCCCGGGATGTTCTCATCTGCAAAAGAGCCAGAAATCAGCAATCCTTTACTTTATTTCATCCCATTTTCAATCCCACCCGTTATACTTGCAGTTCTGTTTTGCAATCCAGAGTTGGCTCACAGCCACTAGCCCCAAATGCTTTAGGACAGGGGTCTCCAACCTTGGCAATCGGGGAATTCTGGGAGTTGAAGTCCACCAGGCTTAAAGTTGCCAAGGAGACCCCTGCTTTGGGACGTTGTAGGCACATACCTGATTTGTTTGGACAGTTCGGCTGTCCTAGGTGCATCGTAGGATGGTTGTTTGCATAGACGGAAGCCAAATGTTTCAGAGTTTCCTTATTTTCTACTAAAAACAACAAAACAAAAACAAAACAGTCATATTTCTTTTCAGAATGTTTGGGGGGGGGGGTTGCAATCAAGGACCAAAGCAGTGTGAAGAGCCGGTCTGAAAAGATGTTTTGCAAAGCCCCAGGAAAGGGGGGGGGAAATCAGCTCACCTGTCTGCACCGGTTTGTCATAAGGGTAAGTAACGAGGAGGGACCCTCCGTCTAAGGCAACGGAGAGGCTGAAGTCCCGCTTCTGTATCAGGTTCTCCATGATGGCTTTTGTTTCGGGTTCCCTTGCTACGGAGGAATTGCCTAACGGAAGAATCAAGGGATTTTTCACGGTAAGAGAGACAGCCTCGTCCATTCAACTTTCAGGTAAATGCACCACACAAAGTCTGATTGGTGCAGAACTATGTTAATCTGATTGCTGTTTCAGTCTGTGGGATCCTTGATGCTCTCCAAACATGGCCGTTTGTTTGGGGATGTTTGGTTACCTGACCAGGTATCATCTTCAGTGCTAAAAGGGAGGGGGGTTGTGGAATGTATGAGAGGAGGAGGAGGACAAATGATGATGATGAGGAAGGGGAAGAAGATGAAGGAGAAGGAATGATGATGATGGAGGAGGAGGAGGAGAAGAGAGGAGGAGGAGGAGGACTGTGCTCTCTGTTTAAATACAGTAGCTTGCAATGCCTGTGTGTGTGTGTTTGTTTGTGTGTGTTGTGTTCTTTGAATATGCTGTTGTTTATTTCTGTTTTATTTCTTGATTGTTCCTTGGGTGTTAATCCCTGCTTCTCTGGGTGCTGATTGCAGGTGACTGCTGATGACAACGCTCTAAACTAGTGTTTCTCAACCTTGTCAACTTGAAGGTGTCTGGATTTCAACTCCCAGAATTCCCCAGCCAGCGAACGCTGGCTGGGGAATTCTAGGAGTTGAAGTCCAGACACCTTCAAGTTGACAAGGTTGAGAAACACTGCTCTAAACAATGAACAACCAATGCTGTGAAACTACCACCTCAGGCATATAACTCAGCAGTAAACAACAGCCTACTCAAGGAGTAAACAACCAGTCCACAATCTTTGACAGGGCAAGCTAAGATACATAATCAGAAAGCCCACCCCACTCCCTTCTATCACTCAAGAGGTTATAAGTTGGATAACTGAACGCCTTCAAGAAAACCACCAGGCTCAGATAGCAGCCAGGATTTCACACCTGTGTTGTGTTTTATTGGTATTATTTCCATCTGCATGAGAACCCACTGGCTATGCAACTCTGGGTGACTGAGGGTTAAAATACATAAAGCAACAGAAATTCTTAAAAACACATTATGCAGGAGTCAACTTATGTTCAAAACATTAAATAAAACATACAAATTGAATAAACAAACCACTGGTAAGACATTGAAGCACACCAGAGGGAAAAAAAAACACTGAATTACATGTAAGAACAAGTGATACGTGATTAATCTCAACATGCTAAATAAAACATATAACCAAGGAATCAGAAGCATGGAACATTCTGTCTTCCCTTGTGCAAGCAAAGGGCAGAAAGGAACACATTAACCTGCTCTTACTTGCGAAATCTGTGTCCAGATCTTTGCCGTTGGCATTGGTCTGTCCCAGTTTGGAGGTACAGTCGCCTTCAGTCGCCTGGGCAATCTCACGCCCATCTGGATTTAGGGCTGGTACAATCACTATCCTTGTCTTCTCAATCAACTGGGGGGGGGGGAAACAGCCAACACAAAAAAGTAAACTAAAATTGTATTTGCACAACATTGGAAAAACGAGGAAACACCTACAGAAGATATAATTTTAAAAAATATTGGGCTGTGCAGAAATGGACAGATTTAACACTGTGATAAAAAATAAAAGAAAAAGAAGAGACAGAATATTTTCTAACTTGGGACTTGTGGTATTAAACCTCGTAGGGGGTAGGGTGGGAATGTCGTCCACGGACTCACTTCACTTGTGCGTGTTGCCACCCGGCCTCCTTTTCGCTGTCAGAGGCCTTCAGGAACTTCTTCTGCCACCAGCAAGGATTTCCTAAAGGCCTCTGCAGCCGGTAACAGAACTCCAGATCAATCCGGAGCTCTTTTATCGGCTACGGAGACCTTCAGGAAAGCCTTGCCAGATGTAGAAGAAATGGGCCGAGATATGCGAGGCCTAGCTGCAACTATCTAATGGTAAGTAACAGGGCAGCTCCACCACCCCCACCCTAGCTTAATTTTTACCCGTGCACCCTGGAGTGGGTGGCCGAGGTCTTAATTAGGGCTTATTTTGGGGATAGGGCTTATATTGGACTTACTTTTGGGGTAGGTCCTATTTTTGGGGAAACACGGTAGATGCTTCCAAACATGCAGGTCACCCACCTTTGTGATAGCCGTGTTCTTTTTGTAGTTCATGCAGAGGAACTCTGCCAGAGCCAGGAGGAGCTCGGTACCGACCGGGGCGTTACCATGGATGCCGGCAACAAAACGGATCTTCGGCTCTTCTGGCTCAGACTGGTTGGGTTTGTTAGAGATTTCCAGGGACCATATGTGACGAAACTCCCGACTTTGGCCCAAGCTGCCAAAATAAAAAAAAAAGAATAGAAGTCTATTGGCTGCTTTTTAAAAATAGAAATGGCCATTTTGGGCTGCCTTTTCATTTTGCAGGAGTCAAAAATAACATTTCTAGGAATGCTGTGACATTTATAGTAAGATACCGGCACGGCAACTACCTCCCACCTGAAGGACCTTGAGATTGCTTCATGGGGAAAGAGCAACACAACTCCAGCAAACAACCGTTGACTTACCTGAACGGTCCTTCTATGTGCGCTGCAAGGGGAAGCAGCGCACAGGAGAACGGAGAGTTTTTCCAGCCACTTTTTAGATCACTCTAGCTAAAAAAACCTACTTTATTATCACATTTAAAATTGTATGATAGCAACAGCTCTGAGACTCATATACTTATATACCACTTCACAGTGCTTTATTAGCCGTCTCCAAGTGCTTTACAGAGTTTTGCCCCCAACAATCAGAGTCATTTTACCAACCTTGGTAGGTCAGAAGGCTGAGTTAACCTGGAGCTGGCCAGGATCGAACTCCTGGCTGTGGGCAGAATTAGCTTGCAATATGCCACTCTAACCACTGCGCCACCATGGCATGATTTAAGCTTCTCATAAGTTTATTGCTTTGTTAATTTATCCCACCTCCCACACCATTTTGCAGACTACTGGAACCATTTGCACCACTCAGGTGACCTTGAGGACACAGATAAATTTCCTAGTGCTTCAACGACCCTCTAAAAGGATGCAAATGACCAGCTGTCTGCAAGGAGTAGAAAGAGCCGAGGTGGCGCAGTGGTTAGAGTGCAGCACTGCAGGCTACTTCAGCTGATTGCAGTTCGGCTGTTCNGTTCACTTAACAACCGGGTTAATAACTTATCAGTTGCAGTGATTCACTTAACGACTGTGACAAGAAAGGTCGTACAATGGGGCAAAAGTCATTTAACAAATATCTCCCTCAACAACAGAAATTTTGGGCTCAATTATGGCCGTACATTGAGGACTACCTGTATCTGAAAATAAAAATACGTGAAAAATTACACCTCTTTATCCCAACATTAATCCAGTATACCATTCTCTTGCAATTTTAACTGAATAATCCTGTGAGACAGGAAAGGCTACATGAGACTCAGGATCACCCACCAAGCTTCATAATTGTCACAGAGTCCCTATTTAAAATTAAACAAAAAAAAAATTACAGCTTTCATTCCCTAAAATCTAAGCAACCTGTTGGTGCAAATGTAACAGAAGGAAACCTAGCAGGAACTACAATCAAGATAACATGATTTATTTTTTTTTTTTGCAGAAATAAGTAAAACCAGAAAATTGGTTTTGAAAGTGTTGACTTGAGTTTATTCAGATCACACTGTTTCTATCATTATTCTCCAGGTACTTGGAGAGCAGGCCCTCTTGTAACATTCTTGTACGTGCAACTAACAATTCACTTTTTTTTTTAGAACTTTAGTGCCTTCCAAACATTTTGCATTAAATTTTCCAGGATGCCCCAGTCAGTCACTGGGTTTACACTTCCCTTTACTATATATCATTCATTTCTGGATTTATAAAATAATTACAGTGGCTGGTTTCAGAATGACATTAAGTCACAAATCTGAGGAGCAAATTTATTCCACAAAGGAATAAAATGTTTTATTTTATTCCAGGTCATAAAATGTTAAGAGGCAAAGTCCTTTCAGAAATTGCCAGAAAATTCTATTTTTTTGGAAGGAGCAAGAAGAAAAACTATATTTAACTGATCCAATGTAATTTCAATTGAATTAATTCAAATCTACATTTGGCCCTAACCCTATCAACTTCTTTGTTCTTTGTTCTTTTCTTTTTTCCTTTTGGAATTTGGCCTCCGCAAAAGTCAAACTGAAAAAAGTTGTTCACCCACGCTGTGCACCGTGATTGCAAAGCACAACGGCTAAGTTAACATATCATGTTAAATAAAGATTTCATTATGGTTTGGTGGAGAACTTCTTAATCTTTGTGATATTGCGAACTCCCTAAAAAGATAAATGAATTTGTGTGAAACTCTCTGCCCTGCCCTGAATAAAACAAATGATTCATTTACAGTTAGAGCAAAGAAATATATTCTTTACAAAGGGGACAATTTTCATCACATTCTAGAGTCTGTCCATATTATTTATTTTACGTACTGCAATGATTAGCAAGGACTCCTACTTATTAATATAAACAAAGCAACCGGAAAAGCAAAGGTCCCAAAGGTGCTTTTTTCAAGAGGCAAGTGGACTTTCTGGTTTCTCTTTGAAGACATTTTGCTTCACATCCCAGAAGCTTCTTCGGCTCTGACTGGATGGAGGGGAAGGGAAGGATTTCTACTCCTTGCAGACATCTGATCATTTGCATCCTTTTTAGAGGGTCACTGAGGCCACTCAGAGGTTTATCTGTGTCTTCAAGGTCACCTGAATGGTGCAAATGGGTGTGGAGCCTTCTTGGAACTGCTGAAAGGGCCGTGTTGTAGACTGGAGATAGATGATATCGTATCCCTCCCCCTCTGTTGAGGGAGGGCTGTTCAATTTGGACGCAAATGGCTTCTTTGACCCCTCTTTCAAACCAGTGTCCCGCTCTATCCAAAATGTGGACTTTAGAGTGGCCTGTATCTTTTAAATGCAGATGGGCTGCTGGAATCTAGTCAGATTCAGAAGAATGCAAATGACCAGCTGTCTGCAAGGAGTATAAATCTTTCCCTTCCCCACCATCCAGTCAGAGCCGAAGAAGCTTCTGGGATGTGAAGCAAAATGTCTTCAAAGAGAAACCAGAAAGTCCACTTGCCTCTTGAAAAAAGCACCTTTGGGACCTTTGCTTTTCC